CAATTCGTACTTCACGTAGATACTAAAAAAAATCTGTAGATCTCCAGATGTTCCCGTTCAGACGCCAAGACTTAATGAGTACAATAGTAATATAAGTCTAAACAAGAATAATTAACAATACATTGCTCCAAATTTTTTCCTAATTCGTTGATCGTAAATATCTATTTGGAACGAATTTACTCTAATAGGTTTTACCTTTATTCCGGTCTCTCCTTTTCTACCTATTTCACTCTTTCTCTATCATTCTCTCGAATTCTCACACTGCATCTGTCGCCGCAAGGATACTGATTTCGATACCGCAATATGTGAGCGTAAGTCCATATTCGGGAACATCGCTACGCCATTTAAATATCTCAAGAACGAGTGAAGATATCGTAAAATGGACTAATGTTTCGTTTTCAAAGATTACAAAATCACGTGTTTACTTATATAGAAGCATATGTTTTATTTGAAAAAGCGTGGACACCCCTCGTCTTAGAGCAGCTTGTCAACTGGGGCCTGTGTGGACCCATGGTCCACTTCATCGAAAATTTCCTGACCGATCGTTCTTTCAGAGTCGCAGTTGGCAACACGAGGTCCCAGCTTTTCGGAGAAGAGCCGGTCGTCCCACAAGCTTCAGTTATCGCCGTTACTCTCTTCCTTGTGGCCATGAACGGAGCTTTCGGAGGGCTGCCGAAAAATGTTTACTACCGGCCCAACAGCAGCACGTAACAGGATCAAGGCCCAGGCAGCAGTCTCCGCTGTAGCCAGGTGGGCCAGCGCGGTAGGTTTCCAGCTTTCGGCCACCAAAAGCGTCGGGTGCCACGTGTGTCCACCTATCAAAGTTCAAAGCCAGCCCATACCACTGAAAAAGACGGTCCGTATTCTGAGGGTACTTGTTGACCGGTCCCTCAACTTCGAACAGCACTTTAAGGGGATCAAGAACGACTGCCGCAGCAGGATATCTCGCCCCCACCAGTCTAACAATCGCGACACTCGTTTCCGGGTTGCAAGTGCCGTCATCGATGGTCGCCTACTGTACAGTCTTGAGATGACGTGCATCGCCACCGAAAAGCTCGTGCAAACGCCTACGTTCGAATTGTCTCCGGTCTTCTTCCGTCAAGGCCCGCCGATGCCGCATGCATCGAAGCGGGTATTCTGCCCTTCCGCCATCGTATAACCGCAGCAATTGCAACGAAAGCCGCTGCCTTTACAGCAATGACCTCCGGGAATGACAGGATCTGTTCTCCTAGATGAGGGGAACAGACTCCTCCGCATGGCTGCCAATTTAGAGCTCCCCCCAGTGGCCAAGGTTCACTGGTACGGAGACAAAAGTTGGTGCATACCTCCACCAAAAATCGAGAGTCGGATAAAGAGCAGGTTTAAGGCTGGAGATAACTCTGCAGTGCTGAGGAAAACAGTAGCCGAACTGGTCTGACCGGCCCATACTGGTGCTATCCGATTCGTACAGCGTGATACAAGACCTTACACCTGATACCACGAGTCACCCCTGGATACAGGGTATCGTGGAGACCACACCCCCGAACACGGTGTTCACCTGGATTGCTGCGCACTGCATCCCTGTATCCCAGGAAATAGCGAGGCTGACAGCCTGGCAGCGTCTGAACCAGCTGGCCCCCGTTACACCGACGAAGTGCCACTACAGGACATAAAGCGATGGATAGTCAGCAAAATGTGGGAAGCCTGGGAAGCAGAGTGGTGCCAATCCCAATCCCTCTTGATTCGAAGAATCAAAGAAACGACGAGCAAGTGGACGGATATGTCGAAACTGCGGGACCAGACGGTGGTTTCTCGTCTTAGGACAGGCCATACAAGGATCTCACATAGTTTTGGTAGGACGCAGTTCGATAGAATGTGTTACGTTTGCGGAACCACTGTATCGGTGGAACACATCCTATGCCTGTGTCCGCAATACCAACATCTACGGGAGCAGCACGCACTTCCCAACAGCATCAGGGACATACTGGGCGACGAACCTTCCACTTTAGCGACAGTTATTTATTTCCTCAAGGACGCTGGGCTATACAACAACATTTAGGTCATTTTAACTTTCTTTTGGCTGACGGGACATCTCTGCCGGACGGGGGATTACCCCTCCGGCTTTGTCCGTTTCGATCATTTGTCTATTCGACCTTTTGTCCATGTGATCTTTTGTTAATTTGATTTTCTGTCCATTCGACTTTTTGTCCATTTGACCTTTCATCCATTTCGAGCTTCTGACCATTCGACCTTTTATCCCGATAAATTTCATTAGACTTTTTGTCCTTTCGATCTTTTGTTCCTCATAAGTTTTTTTCCATTCAACCTTCTGTCCAGTCAACCTTTTTTACATTCGATCTTTTGTTCATTCGACCTTTTATCCTTCGACCTTTTGCTATAGGGGAAAGGGATGTAATATCGGCCTAAATGCCCCTAATTTGGGCCCATACATAAATTCAGCAATCGACTAAATTTTCATTGTTTATTAATTTATTTATTTGATAAGGCTCAACCGAATTAACTTTACAGAGCCGAGGATTCTTGTTCACTATACAATACATCTTAAAACTATAGTCAAAAGGTACAACACAATAAACATTTTATCTTCCGCTATACAATAAGCCGCCTCTACCAGAATGGGAGCCGCTTCCAGTGGTTTACTTGTATGGCAGATTCGCCAACGATGGCCAGAGCGCTTCAATTTTAGCAATGGACGCAAAACGTGGTCAGCACTCACACATTCATCACGAAACGGTTGCTTTCCAAAGTCGACGACGCATCGACTGAAAGAACTGCTGATGAAGAACAATGAGGAGGACCACACAATGGTTGCTGCCGAGTAAACAGACGATCGCGTGACACACATTGAGAGTGGTCTGCTTCTGTCGACAGCCAAGTGAACGACTAAATTTTCAATAGCGACCAAATATATCCATTAGTATCGTCCCAATGACACGTTCATCTAGATAAATTTGATGAAAAGCTGAGTTTAAGCGATGGGCCCAATCTTAGATCCATAGGCGAACATTAGAGCCATTTCCCCTACCTAATTTCTTTTAAAATGAAACATAGGGAAAACTACGGCTTTGGCACTTCTTTACCAATTATCGTCGTGAGTCGGGAGGAAGAGGAGGCGTTCATGACGCTAATAGGTAAAGAAGTTGCGAAGCCGAGACTTCCTCTATAAAAATAGAGTAAATTGTACTCAAACTGAGTAAATGTTATTCAAAACTAAACATTGTTTGAGCAACGAAAATATGCCAAATTCTACTCAATTGAGTTGAATAAGTTCATTATTATGAGCCCAATGATGTTTGTTCTTTTTTCTTGGATTAAAATGCTTGAACTATTCCGCTTTTCGACACGACGTTAATTAATTGACAGCTCGCTCCATACACTAACGTAGCAACGGGGGGCGCTTCGATGGTGATTTCCCCCAATGAAATCGATCTTCTAATGCATTTGAATTTTTCACCCAAGCTCCGGACTATTTCGAGCATCCTAGGGGAAGGGGTTGGAATCTAAAATAATCCAAAAGTCATCATGCGACTTACTTACAAGTAATATGTTCCACCTTGTGATCATGATCGGTAATTGACTCGTTTCTGATTTTGACATTTTCCTTCAAAAATAAACCTTCAATTTTGCCATCAAACATCAAATAGACCCATGTAGCCTGGACACGTTTTTCATAATTAATCGAACAAGGTTGTCCGTGTTCGACGAGTGAAAATTTCTCATCGTTTCATCGTTTCCCAACCCTCCACAACCCCACCCCGGTAATCAAACATTGCAATGCAAGGAGGTTATACTCGTGCACGTTCCTACCTACCTATATTTTGGTTTTCCAATTTTATTCAAATTTGTTTATTCGTTCGATCGATTCATTAATTGCTTTGGTGTCAATCGATGCGTGCAACTACTCTCACCCGTCTCGTCGCATCGTGTTGAAAACCTCAGCATCCGGCGGCGGCTGCTGGTCATACCTGCATGATTGGATCATATTGGATCGAGCGAAATGTGCTTCTGGTCATTAATTTAAATTAAAAAACGAATTTTGATTTACACTTCCGTCTGGGTGATCGTTATTCATGTGCGAGTAAAAATCGTTGAGTAACACGACGAAAGTGCCTTCCAGATCCAACTTTGGCTAACCATAATCCCGATATTATTGGAGATTGGTTTGTCAGAGCAGACAGAATGGCGGCGACCAATAAGCTCAATGATAAAAACTTTTCCATCAACCGTCGCACCGATATGGCGGTCGTCGTCATTCTTGGCACACCCCTGACCCATTTGGAAATATAAGCTCCACGTCCAACTTGGGAAGGGATTTATCCACCGGTTTTGGCACCTTTGCCGTTTCGATTTTCATTTCTTTTCTGGCCAATTTGCTGCGTAGATGTTTGTCTAAGGAAAAACCATGGGAAACAACTGAAATGGAAAACTGCCTCGCATAAGTTTTATTTTTTATTTTGGATAGAAGGTTTGCCAAATTCAGCTCGTTCGCTCGTTGAGGTATTTACAAAAGGAGATCAAAAGCGAAAGGTGTACGATGATGGTGGCTGATGTACTGGAAACTGGAGAATTATGTCAGCAAATTTGGAAGTATATTTTTTTTTTGGTGTGCAAGGTCATCATGCCGATTGAAATGCTGCCAAATTCTCGATAGTTTTACGTCTGATGATGTGTTGTTTGTGGGTTTTATGGTTTTATGAGTGAAATTCAAATAGATTGTAAATTTTTATCACCAATGTTCCACAAGTCTTACGAAAAACTCTAGTTGCTAAATTCGCATTCTCAGAATCAATCAGTGCTGCATCAACGACGCGTTGACCTCAATTGCCATTTGATGATATGAAGCTGTTTTTATCGCACCCGTGGATGTTCGCAGAAATCACTTTTAAATTATCCCATTTTTGTTTTACTATCGCACAGCGAGTCCCCACAAATTGCAATTTAAAACCACCCTCTTTCTCCTTCCACATATTCACGGTGATTTTGTTCTACATTTCTTTCAGAACAACTCCTCCTGGTCTGGTCTGGATCTGGTGCCACTGACATCCAGCCCGCAAAGAATGTTGGAATTGGTGCAACGACATTTGAAGAGTAACTCCAACAAGCAGATTCATACGGGTAACAGCTGCAGCCGTCACCACACGGTGTCTATCAACAAATAGTGACGGTTGGGGGGTGGAGAAAAGCGAAGCACATATAGGTACAGGATCTGAATCGTGAACGCTGACGGTGACTGTGTATCGCTAGAAAATTACCAAATGAAGATGACAACCTCCAGTTCGGCAAACGACGGGGCCGGAGGCACGTCAAACAACAATGCACATCGGAAGGGACATCGGTTAGTTGCTTCTTCGATATTGAATGCATATGTAGTATGGCTCGTACGGCAACCTTCATTCAATCTGTCACAACGTTCCAATAAATTTCGGCCTCACGTACGTAGCTGTACGATGACCTAAATAAAATGTACTACGAGGGCTTTAAAAACGAATTCTTTTTGTGCAAATCGTATTAGGGTGATGATGAGCATAAAGGTGAAATGGTCAAAACAAACAAATTGTATGATCAACTCTTCTCTTTCTATGAAACGTTGCTTAACTATTCTGTATGAGCTATCATTCAAATTTGAGCTATCGCTTCATTTTGGAAAATGGCTTATTCGATAACAGTCTTCAATGAATCATAGCACAGAAACGAATCTGACGTCTGTAAAAAAGTCTGATCAAGGTAGGATTTTGATCAAGACAATATTTTTCACTAGGCATTGTTAATAAATGCAGATTATTGGTCATAGAAATGTGTTTATTAAAACAGATTGTTCATGAATTATTAAAGAAAAATTATTGATCGTGGCAATCAAGGCATATTATCGATCAATGTAACTTGTCGATGGAAGCCGATTGATGATCGAAATAAGTTACGTCAAATAACTTTCTTTTAAAGAAACTTTCTTTAAAGGCAATTTTGAAGAAAATTTTAGAACAGTGCAAATTGTAGATCAAATTAGATTGTTGATCAAGACAGTCATGGTAAATTGTGGATCAAGGCAGATTGCTGATCAAAGTGAATTCTCGATAACTTTTTCAAAGGGACGTATCAGCTTTCGTAAACAATGTATTTGATCGTCGATTTGGCGTAACTAGTAGCTCTCCCATGCATGCTAACACTACCATCAGATAGGGGAAAGTTTCCCCTACCTGCTAGTGGTGTTAGTAAGCGTGTGTGAGCTACCAGTTACGCCAAATCGACGATCAAATGCATTGTTTAAAAAACTGATACGTCCCTTTGAAAAAGTAATCGAGAATTATTTATTGAGGCAGATTTTGGATCATGGCATACACTAGGTGGGGTGAAAAGTAACCTCCTTGGAAATGAAAAAAAAAATCAGTGCTTTTTTTATTTAATTCAACACAGTTCCCCTTTTAGATCGATACACTTATTCCAGCAATTTTCCGTCTGAAAAGTAATTTTCCGGAAGGTCTGCAAAATACTCCTCCGCGGCGTCGATGATTTTCTCACGTGAGCTGATTTTTTTTATTGATGAGCCATCATTTGAGGTTTGAATTGGAGCCATAAGTCATTGATTTTAGCCGTGGTTGTGATGCTCTTGTGTGCCGGCGCATTGTCTATCGAAAACCATTTTTTTTTCGCTCATGTGAGGCCGTTTTGAAGCGATTTCGGCCTTCAATCGCTTCAATAATGCACAGTAATACTCACTGTTGAAGGTTTTTCCTTTTTCGAGGTAGTCCACGAGGAGTATGCCATGGCAATCCCAGAAAACCGACCCATCGAGCCTCCCTCGGCCGCTTCGGAGCACTCGTGCCGGTTTCAGTCCATTGCTGGGCACTCTCTCTGGGGTGTAAAAGTGGATCCAGGTTTCATCAACAGTTACCGATCGACGCCAAAAGTCCGCCCGATTCCGCATCAGCAAGTCCAAGCACACTTTCGAAGTGCTCTCGCGTTCGTGTTTTTGGTCAGGAGTGAGCTTGCGCGGCACCCAGCGGCAGGATAACTCTTATATGCAGAATCTCGCCCAAAATATGGCGTGTGTGCTCAGTACTAATCTTTGCGGTATCTGCAAGCTCGCGCACCTTCACTTTCCGGTGAACCAACACCATTTCATGTAGTTTTTTGAAATTGTCCTCTATAACCGCATCGGAGGGCCTGCCGCTGCGGACTTGATCGGTAGTGGAGTTGCAGCCACCACGAAACTCTCGAAACCAATATTTGACGGTGTAATCTGACGGAGAAGTAGCCCCATAATATTTATCCTACTTTTCTTTTGTTTCCTTTGCCGTTTTGCCACTAAAAAAATAATGTTTTATGAGAGAACGAAAATCGTTTTTATACATACTCAACATGATGCCAAACACGTCAACAACAATCAGCTGTCAAAACAAAACTAAAGACAGTATCGCACTGAAATTTGGCATGTCTGCCTAAATAGAGATCTCCAAGCGCAATCTCACGAACACTTAAATCCAACATCCATGTATAAAAATGAATGAAGAAGAACTCTAAAGCTGAGTTTAGATTAGGCAAGTCAAATGATCAACTCAGTTGAATTCAATTGGCTTGAAAAGTTGAGCCTGGTTCAACTTTTTTCAATTCAAGTGAGTTGATCAAGTCAGTTGAATGGCATGGTTTACACGTTCAATTCGCGTTCAAGTCAGTTGAATTCAACTGACTTGATCAATTGACTTGCCCTGTCTAAACCCAGCTTAAAGGTATCGCGATATCACAACCAGAGCTTAAAATTATTGACTGCCTAGGCTGAGTGTGAAAGCACTGCACTATTAAATCCATTGATCTGTGCAGACCGTTTGTACCAAACGGAAAGGACGAGGCAATGAAAGAGCCAACAAAAACATTCAGTCACTCACGAGTAGGCGACGCACACCGCTTGCCTTCGCTCACACAGCATGTAATTCCGGAGTGATTTGAGATTTGGGCGTAATTGTATTTGTAAACAAACTGGTGAATCGCCGATTTCTCGTGAATAAAAGCTCAATCTTATAAAACAAACTATACCAAATGATAAGGGAATCATACCTCTTCCTCATAGTGTTATTAGTTTTCAAAATTGAGGTTTTATTCGCGATAAATCGGCGTTTGACGTGTTTCTTGTTCTGAAAATCATTCAAAACAAATATTGGGTACCAACACGGCAGAATAAACGTGTTGACTGAGCTACTGACTGAGTGCCCGGCTGTCAGTGACTCGTTTACCTCTGAATCATTCAGACTCTCACGAGGCAGTGAATGATGAGGCAGATGGCAGTTCTCGAGTCAGTTTTCAAATAGACCAGAAATCAACGAGAGAAGTCATTGTTTACAAAGGCTGTTACGCCGTAATTCCAGCTCTATCTAGTATTGCTCTTCTATCATTGTATGTGATACAAAAACATCCATACAAATTTATTTAATATTCCAGCTCTATCTAGAATAGTTTGTATCGCTTAAGGTGATACGATACGTCACGCTTTTTTTGCTTTTTTTTTCTCTCCTTTCTATGTGTCAGTGAATTGATTATCATTGATGCTGTAGTAGTGTGAGTGTACATCATGCACTACCGCAACTACCGTAAACATAGCTGCTAGAGTTCGTTATTATTAGGTCGAATGTGTAACAGAGACTATCACTACATTTCCATTCAATTTGTCAATATTATCGACCTACCACCTCCCAGGACACCCCTTCCTATACAGAAAACAATTTTGCGCCTAGCCTCCAAGACCAACATGTCAAGTCATCATAGAAGTTAATTGATTCAACATCACACTTTGGTTACATACGACCTGTCCAAAAGTGATTTCAGAGCTCAAACCTCCAGGTACACGGTAAGAAAAAAGATCCCAAAATGACTTAATTTCACAAATCTCGGCACTATATTGCAGGAAGCCAAAAGCGAGGCCAAAAGTAGGTAATGTGGGTCGAAGAGTTTTTATTTGATTGTTTTCAATTAGTATGGAACTGACAATTCTTTTTTACCCACTCAAAGTCAAAAGTAGGCAAAAATGAACTGGCCGCTGGATATTTTTTCTTATCGTGTATGTTTTTGTTTTTGAATCATCCTTTGCCGCCTTTTGCATATCAGCTGATGGCTTCGAGCAGTGCAACCAGAACGACACATATTTTTTCTATAGAAGATTTCTAGGATAATTTACTATCATTTTTTTGCCTTGAGAAACAAAATAAGAAATTGTTTTAAACATTTTTTAGTGATGGTTTCTAAATTGCACCCAGTTTAAGTACCTTAAAAAGCAATAAAAACATTGTTTTTACACACTTTGTTTCAATTAAATCGACAACACTGGATACGATGAAAGATGATTCTTACACACACCTCCGTAATGCGGTGTGTAGAAAAAAGGTAATCAAAACAGTTTCAATTTGCAAAATTATTCGCGGCTCGCGTTTTTAACGATGCAAATGATATTATTTAAGTAAATATCGTCTTTAAAAGTGAATTAACTTGAAAGTACTTGTAGAAGCACGTGTCGTAATTGTTTTTAGTGTGGTTCTGAGAAGTGAAAGCTAGTGAAAACAGTTGTTGAAATTTCATGCCCTGAGCAGAGCAAAATCCGCTGATCGTACTTTTTAATGTAAATATTACCAATGAGTGAATGAATTGGCAATATTTGGGTGGCAAAGTATTGAAATATGTATCCAGATCTTATTCATACAATTCAGGCCCATTTTTTAAGGTATGTAATTAGTAATTTACTGTTTTGTAGGAAGATGTCTTTCGTACGCATACCATAATACGTTTATTTAATGATTTTAGGGACAGCCATTGTTGCATGACGTGCCGTATCACCTTAACTCGATTTGTTTACATTTGTTACATTGGTCTATTTGAAAAGTGACGCGAGAGTTCATATTCATATCAAAATGACTCAATGAACCTGACTGTTTTGCGCACTGATCACAACTACTTAAAAAGGTAGCGCGCGGTCTCACGCACACTTTTGTGCATCTGGAGAACTCTATATGAACGGACTACAAGGCACCATAACCTTTTTTGCAGTAGCAGCGCATTCTGGCGGTCAAGGAGGTTACTTTTCACCCCACCTAGTAATTGATCAAGGTTGCTATTTGACGAAAGGGCGAGATCACGCTTTAGCGCTAGGGGCAAGACAGCTGTACTCAGAGTAAATATATATGCCGCGAGTAAATTTGAGTTACTCACATTTACTCAAAAATGACCAAAGCAGTTTCGATTTTCTGATCTGGCAGCATATTAGGTTTTCAATATAAACACAGTTTTCAAGCATTAAAAGATTCAAGGCAGACCAGGAATCGATTGGTTAAAGTGTTGTCGTTGAAGATTTTTTGA